CGGCTGGAGGCCGCCGGCGAGCGGCGGAGCTAGAGCGCGCGTGGGGAGAGCGGTACGGGGCGCGAGGAGATCGGGAAAATTGGGGAAACGAGAGAGGAAGCTGCAGGGAGTGTTTATATGGGCTTGGAGTGGCGAGATCGTGGCCGAGAGGGGCGGAATCGGGCGGCAACCGGCCGGCGACGTGGAGGTCAACATGCGCGGAGTGGGGACTCGATTTGGCGCCGAAAATTGGGGAAAAGTGGGGGATTTGGTAGAGGAGGTGGAGGGGAACCGATTTTATGCGGTTTGGGCGCGAGGGCGTGAGCGGGAGGACCGGAATCGACGGCGACGTGGGCGGCAATGGCGGTTGCCGGCGGCTTCTGCTCTGGAGACCGAAGGTAGGAGGAGGGCCTGACAGGTGGGGTCGCCGGGCCCACCTGTCGGGGAGGGAGAGAGGGAGGAGAAACCAGGGGGTTATTTAGACTTTGCGTGAGGGAAAGGGGAAACGGGCCGAGGGGGAGAGAGAGAGAGAGGCCCGAGAGGGGGAGGGCGCGCGGGCCGCGGGGAGGGGAAGGATTCTTGGGCCGAAAATGGCCCAAGGAGGAAGGGGAGTTTTTATTTTGTTTTCTTTTTTATTTAATTGATTCGATGAACTTTGTGCCATTAAAATTACTTCTTGAGCTCCGAAAATTCACGGAAAATTCCGGAGAGTACATTAGGGCACAAAGAATATTACAAAATATTCCCGGCCATGATTTTTAAAGGAAATTTTAATTCCCTCAATAATTTCACTTGATTAACTAGCTTTAACTTTTATTTAATTTCTAGAAAATGCCTTATTAAATGATTTTTAATCCCGAACGAAAATCGGGGCGTCACACGCTGCCCCTGTTCAAACTCCTCAAGCGCTCCGGGCCGTTTGTATGGACGGAGGAAGCTGAGCAAGCTCTCAATCAGCTGAAAGCTTACCTCACTTCCCCCCCCCCATCTTGGTAGCCCCGGGACCGGAGGAGCCATTGCTACTCTACTTGGCCGCGACCCCCCATGTGGTGAGTGCCGCCCTAGTAGTTGAGCGTGAGGAAGGTGAACGGGAGGGCCCTCCGGCTTGCGATGGCCCCTCGTCCCCCGAAGGTCTAGCGCCCAAAGCTTCCTGCCCCCGGGAGGGCCCCGAGGCCCCCAAGGGAGGAGCGGAGGCTTTGGCAGGTGGCCCTGGGCTTGATGATTCCGAGGCGGTCCGGGATCCCCCCGGGACCTCCGAACGGGTGCGCCCTGAGTCACCAGCCCCTGACAGCACGAACTAGCCCCGCCGAAAGGTGCAGCGACCCGTCTACTTCGTCAGCGAGGCGCTTCGAGATGCGAAAACCCGATATCCGCAGGCCCAGAAAATGCTTTATGCCGTCTTGATGGCCTCGAGGAAGTTGCATCATTACTTCCAAGCGCATCGGATTTCTGTAGTGACATCATACCCTCTTGGCCAGATTTTACACAACCGAGAGGGTACTGGACGGGTGGTGAAATGGGCTATCGAGCTGGCTGAGTTCGATCTGCGTTTCGAGCCGTGGCGTGCGATCAAGAGTCAAATCCTGGCCGACTTCATCGCGGAATGGACAAGAGGTGCACGGATCGCCCCGGATATCGCGGCCGCGGCCGCGACTCTCCCGCCCGCACAATGGCACCGTCTGGCATGATCTTGCGAGGGAGGCTAAGGTGCCTGTCTGCCGTGATGCGGGAGGAAGGGAGCACTGCGTCGCCGGCATCTTGGGCCATGGCAACCGGCGGAGAGGTGGTGGAGAACGAGGGGTACGAGACAGTATGAGTTGGCGAGAATATTAGAGTTCGAGAAGCGAGAGGACGAGTGGGCGGTTGGCGAAAGGAAGAAGGCAGAGACTCCTCCTCCGCCCCCTTTTATCCTCGCCTCACCCACGCTTGCCTCCTCGTTTCGTACCCCCATAACTGCCCTCACGATCTTCGCGCCCACATTTGTCTCTTCGCATCCCGTGCCCAATCATCACGTTGCCCGTTGTATCCGTTTCCGCCTTTAGTGCACCTGTCAGGGGCACACTCGAGGTGGAGTGCGCAACGGCCATAAGCACAAGCTGGGCAAACCATCACCGTTACCGCCGCAGGAGTAGTAGGCGAGAGAATCGAGGCGAGGTCTAAGTGACCCCCCCGATTATCGCGCCTCAAGCATCTTCTTCATGAGCACAGTCAGAGGCGGTCAAACCGCTGTCATGATTGGTGCGTCAACCTGGCCACGCGATGATATCCTTTTGGATTCCCTGCCGGGCCCACAACCCCCGCTTGAGGAGTCGTGAGGCGCCATGTCAGAACGATCCCAGGAAATCGATATCTGATATAGCGCCGGGGGCTACTGTCGGAGATATGGGCCCGGTGGTATGTGGAGTAGAGGGGAATTATTTTCCCTCCGGCCACGTGACTCCGCAGGTTGGCCCCACTCGCGCGCCACGCGAGTCGTAGAAGCGTGGGGGGGCCTCGGGGCACGACGTCACCCCCTCGGGCTCTCCCGCGGCTTGCCCCGAGGCCCTCGCCCAGCTGCCGCGCGGCAGAGAGAGAGCAAGAAGGGAGCGCAGGCTAAACAGCCATAAATGTGCGACGCCCCAACTGTCCCTCACCACAGTTAATGCGGTAAGGGCAGAGACATGCGGCGTGCCTAGCGAACCCCTGTCCATCGGATGTGACCGGTCTGTGACCGGCCCGTCTCCGTCACATCCGATGGATAGGGCGACCATGTCCTCACGTCGCCCTTGTCCCCGACGGAGTGGGGGTGGGTATGACCCGTCACATCCGAGAGCCGCTCGAGGAAGGGCTGTTGCGTGTCTTCGTTAATTTATGAGGGAATGACAGGGCTGTCCCCCGCGTCGGGCGGGGGGCGGCGCCGGGTTTCATTCGAGAATCGGTTATTGCTTAGCTTCCGAGAGAAGGCCCGGTTTAAAGCCCGAAAAGTGAAGTGGGGTTCCCCCCCTGGGGGGTAGGTAGAGGCGGCACATGTGGCGTCCCCTTAAGCTATAAAAGGAAGACCCTGCCCACTAAGATGGGGGGACGACTCCCAGAAAACCTGAACTTGAGAAGGAAAGGTGCAGGTGCGCTCTCTGAGGGGAAGGAACCCTTGTAAAAATCATCTATAATCCCAAACACAGGAGTAGGGTGTTACGCTCGATAGCGGCCCGAACCTGTATAATCCGACTGCGTGCATTCACTCCTGAGAGTCGTAGGGACGAGCAAGCGACTAACGAGACGAGCCTCCGCCCCCGGCCGAACTCACGAAAGGGGGGTCTTACGACTCCCCGCTATTGAGGGTCTTCCCTCGATACTAATAGTCTGCTATTGTACCCGCTCTAAGGTAGGATGTTCAGATTGACGTGTGTAGTAGAAGAATAAGGCCTTGTTTAGATTCCAAAAAATTTTTAACCAAAAATGTCACATCAAATGTTTGGACGCATGCATAGGGCATTAAATGTGGATGAAAAAACCAATTGCACAGTTTGCATGTAAATTGCGAGACGATTCTTTTGAGCCTAATTACGCTATGGTTTGACAATGTGATGCTACAGTAAAAATTTGCTAATGATGGATTAATTAGGCTTAATAAATTCGTCTTGCAGTTTACAGGCAAAATCTATAATTTGTTTTGTTATTAGTCTATATTTAATATATCAAATGTGTGTCCGTATACGTCAAAAAAAATTGGGTCAAAGAACTAGACACGGCCTAACAAGCAAAAGAACAAGAGCAGTCTATGGAAGATGGTGTGGAAAGTAAAGACACCAGAAAGAATGTTTCTTCACGTGACTTCGCGAGGGGCGGCGGCGGCCCGGATCCACCACCTTGGGAATGGCTACGGCTGCGGTAATGACGTGCAGCGACGGCGACGGCGGCAGCTACCGCGAGCTCGCGGATCCCGCCGCTTCCCCTCCCTCTCTCCCTCGTCTTCTTTGATCCTTGTGGACGAAGGTCTCGTGCTTTCTCGCCATGCAATGCTCAACAACAATGTTGTTGTAAACTATGTACTGTACGCTTTTTCCCCCTTGCTTAATAAAATTTTGGCCTGCGAAAAAAGAACAACAAACAAAATGGACAAGGAAAGAGACGAGGATCGCAAGCGATGCTGATAGATTGCATGGGAATGCTGAAAGGCATGTGGCGCTAGAGTATATTCTGTGTGGAGTTGCCTGTTGGGGACGACACATAGGTGAGATGCCGATGGATTGGACTTGCCGACGAGCAACTGGTGGCAAAGGTAAGCGAAAGAGCATCAGAGCGAAGTAAGGCACCACACACAACAGATTGATTTGCGTATAATCCTATCTTTACCACATCGAATGCTTATCTCTTCTCTATCTCTATCTCTGCTACTATTAAAATTTGTAGTATTTATGTCTTAATTTTTCGTCCAATGCTTATTCGTGTCCGGTTTTTGTACGTCACGCCTTTGCTCTCGATCTTTTGTTTGTAATAACTTGCCTCTCTGTCTTGTATTTTCCTACATCCCATGGGTCAGCTCTCCGCCACCAGAACGAACTCCTTTGTCTCCTATCTCAAGTGTGGCTAAACTCTTAGCCTAGTTGATGTATGAGAGCTTTTACGGTGCTTGCGAGGTACTTAAAGATATTAAAAGGTATTAAAAGATAGAACAATATGAACCGTTAATCAAGAAAGGGGCAAGGTACGGAATAAAAGCTATCGTAATCAATGATAGCAAAGTAAGTAACTAGTAAAATATGGGTATTTTGGGTTAATCAAATACCTAGCTGAATTGATCGGTATTGTTTGGTAGAAAAAGTTGTAAATCTTCCGAGGCATTTTGTCTCCGATACATTTTGTATCATTCGGTCGAAAATGTAAATCTTCCCATACATTTTATCTCCCTAATAAATTTTATCTCCTAAATAAGTTTTATCATTTTCTAATATTTGAATGTATTTTTGTGTTGTTTCATGTATCACAAATTTATAATTAAGCTGGCATGCATGTTTCTATGTAGGTAGCGTACGTGGCAGCAAAATTAGCCCCTAAATTTAGCATGTGTTCATGCATGCATGATGATTAAGTTGGAAACGATGATGTTCAAATTAGCCCCTAATTTCTAGTATGCTTAACAAGAGTAACGCAAGTACGCTCAATTCAGGGCTGAGGTGAGCTCAACTAGATTGATCCAACATATCAACTTTATCAAATTGATCGGTTTCTGTTGTGAAGGTGATGAGAGGCTACTTGTGTATGAACACATGGTAAATGGTTCTCTTGATGCCCATCTATTTCAGAGCAAGGCTACTATTCTGAATTGGACCACCAGGTATAACCTAGCCATAGGAGTTGCTAGAGGATTGTCCTACTTGCATCATAGCTGCAACGAATGCATCATACATTGTGATATTAAGCCAGAAAACATACTTCTGGATGTATCGTTTGCTCCTAAAATTGCAGACTTTGGGATGGCAGCATTTGTAGGAAGAAATTTTAGCCGAGTTTTGACTACATTCAGAGGCACAGTAGGATATCTTGCTCCAGAGTGGATTAGTGGAGTTGCTATTACACCAAAAGTTGATGTTTATAGCTTTGGTATGATATTGTTGAAAATCTTATCAGGAAGAAGGAATTCACATAAAGTACATACTGATGACAATAGTGATCAAGTTGTCTTTTTTTCCCTGTGCAAGCCATTAGCAAGCTTCATGAAGGAGATGTCCGGAGTTTGGTAGACCCGCAGTTAAATGGTGACTTCAGTATATTAGAGGCTGAAAGAGTTTGCAAAGTTGCATGTTGGTGCATACAAGAGAATGAGTTTGATCGGCCAACAATGAATGAAGTGGTCCGGGTTCTCGAGGGTTTACAGGAGCTTGATATGCCTCCTATGCCACGGCTTACTTGCAGCTTTAACAGAATACTCTGTTGTGGCTTACTTTGATGATGTTTCATAAGTACTTCCTAGTTGATGTAAATAGTATTTGTCTTAGAAAATTTTGAGGTTCTAACATGAGTGGAAGAAAAGGAATGTAAGCTGGGTATTGCTAAATTGTAATGCATTTTTTCAATAACCAATTGTGGTAAGCAGGCATTACAGCAAAGATTTGGCAGAAATAGAGATACATGACCGATGCATATGTTTTGTTGATGAAACTCAACAAGTTAATCTATGCCACTACTTGCTGCGTGCTTGCTTCAAAGACATATCAGTTCTAAGTTGCTTATTGCAATATGCTACCATAGGTTTCAACTGAAATATGTTAATGTTTCTGTTTCCTGCAAAATCGTAGGTTTTCAACAGTATTCCATATTAGTTGCTCAATCATTTGCTTCATTCCAAACAGGTGAATAGATACATAACCCTTAGTCCAAACGGACTCAGAATATCTCAAGCATAGTTTTTTTTCCAATAAAATATTTTTTGCTCACCTTTTTATATAATATATAAAGCATGGCCTTGGCAACGATTTTGCTGAGCACATCATGAGCAGTGAGTGAGGATTGGCTGAGCGTGCTGATGCGGACATCACTCCTTCGGATACACATGACAATCCTCCAACAGTCATTCAAGGACCGATAACAAGAGTTCACGCGCGACAATTGAATTTAGAGGTGAGCTCGTTCCTATGTTCTACTCTGTACGAATTCGAGAATAGATTGCTACCTAATGATTATATTGTGATTAGGAACAATAGATGGGACAAGGAGACATTTGGAGAAGGACTTAGAGCCATGGAGGATCAACGAGGACGTCCAAGTCAAGGTGGAGGCCCAAACCAAGTCGAACTCAAGTGCAATTCGATGTCCAGGACCAGTCTGCACTAAAACGGGCGCCCAGGTCGCATACGTGCTCGGATTAGGGCGTTCTTTATATGGATGGAAAGCTAAGAAGATAAACTTTCCAATTGTTTTTGTCCCACGTCCAAATTATTTCAGTGTCAACAGAAATCGAGCGAACAATTTGACGTCCAGAATCTGTCCCAGTGCTGCGTCAACGTATTTGGGCCTTTGGGCCGTGTATCATGTTGGAACCCATTAGGGGTGCATCGAGAGGGCGTTGCATGACCCTAAAATCTATATATCAGTACCCATTGTCATCTTAAGGGTTTGGACTTTTGCTTAGATTATTCTATCGAGAACAGTTTCGCCGCTAGATCGGTTTGTAAGACCCCAACTCGTGAGCTTAATCACTCACCTGCAATTTTGGTTGTATTCTATCTCGTTCTTGTTTGTGTTCTTCGATTGGCAAACAGGGATTAGCCTTCTCGGCAAGATCATCCGTGTTTCGACACGGGTGATAACCAGAGGAAACGTGGTGCTGTGATTGTGTGGCTCAAGAGCGTACGCGTTCAAGAAGCCGGATCGATTTGTGTCGCGACTCCACCCAAATCGTTGTTTATTAGAATCTGTCGGAAGATCGGGAACCCTAGTACACATCCACATCCTTACCATATTCAGTGGTTAAACGATTCCGGAAGAGCAAAGGTAGCACAGGTTTGTAGGGTTTCGTTTTCCATTGGCTCATATGCAGATTTTGTTGATTGTGATGTGGTTCCTATGCAAGATTGTTCACTTTTGTTGGGTCGTCCTTGGGAACATGATAATGATGCTACACACCATGGTAGGAGTAATAAATATACTTTTGTGCATAATGGAAAGAAAATTGCTTTGCTACCTTTGACCCCTGCTGAAATTGTATAAGCTGATAAAGAACGAGCTGCTAGTTTGAAACTTGATGAATCTAAAAATCAGCAAGTTGCTAAATCTGTTTTTCCACCTAAAAAGGATAAGCTTTCACCTAGCTCTAAGGTTGAGGGAATTAAGTTGAAGGGTGGTGTTATGCTTGCAACAAAATGTAACATTGCTGAAATTTCAGATGATGATATTTGCTATTCATGGATATGCAAAGAAGCTTTGGTTTCTCTAGATGATATTGCTAGTTCGATACCTCCTGCTGTTGCTAACCTTTTGCAGGAGTATGAGGATGTTTTTCCAGCTGAGATACCCCCGGGATTACCACCTATGAGAGGGATCGATCATCAAATTGATTTGATTCTGGGAGCATCATTGCCAAACTGAGCTACTTATCGAACCAACCCCAAGGAGACTAAGGAAATTCAGCGGCAAGTCCAAGATCTTTTGGACCGCGGGTATGAACATCAAAGCCTTAGTCCCTGTACAGTTCCTGTAATTTTGGTTCCTAAGAAAGATGGTTCTTGGCGAATGTGTGTTGATTGTAGAGCCATTAATAATATTACTATTCGATATCGTCATCCTATTCCTAGGTTAGACGACATGCTTGATGAGTTGTGTGGTTCTATAATTTTCACAAAGATTGACTTGCGTAGTGGCTATCACCAAATTAGAATGAAACTTGGAGATGAATGGAAAACGGCTTTCAAAACTAAATTTGGATTCTATGAGTGGTTAGTAATGCCTTTTGGTTTGACTAATGCACCTAGTACTTTCATGCGCTTAATGAATGAGATTTTAAGGCCTTTTATTGGACGGTTTCTGGTAGTTTACTTTGATGATATCTTGATTTACAGCAAGTCTTTGGATGAACACATAGATCATTTACATGCTGTTTTTAATGCTTTACGTGATGCACGTTTGTTTGCTAACCTTGAAAAGTGCATCTTTTGCACGGAACGAGTTTCTTTTCTTGGATATGTTGTTACTCCACAGGGAATTGAGGTGGATGAGACGAAAATTGAAGCCATAAAGAGTTGGCCGGTTCCCCAAACCATCACACAGGTGAGGAGTTTTCTTGGTCTTGCAGGATTCTATCACCTTTTCGTCAAAGATTTTAACACCTTTGCTGCACCATTGAATGAGTTGACGAAGAAAGTGGTGGTCTTCCATTGGGGAAAGACATAGGAGAAGTCGTTTGACACTTTGAAAGACAAGCTTACACACGCACCATTGCTACAACTTCCAAACAATGGTAAGACTTTTGAGTTAAAATGTGATGCTAGTGGAGTTGGCATTGGGGGTGTTTTGATGCAAGCTAGTAAGCCTGTTGCATACTTTAGTGAGAAGTGGCATGGTCTTGTTTTGAATTATTCCATATATGATAAGGAATTTAATGCTCGTGTACGTTCTTTAGAGACGTGGCGTCATTATTTGTGGCCTAAAGAATTTGTTATTCACTCCGATCATGAATAATGTGAGGAAAGATAATGTGATTGTTGATGCTTTGTCTAGGCGCTATACTTTCTTGTCCCAACTTGATTGTCGGATTTTTGGACTTGAATCAATTAAAGAACAATATGCGCTTGATCCTGATTTTAAAGAAGTGATGTTGAATTGCAAAGAGGGACGTACTTGGAACAAATTTGTGATCAATGGTGGATTTGTTTATAGAGCTAACCGTCTATGCATTCCAGTTGGTTCCGTTCATCTTTTGTTGATACAGGAAACGCATGGAGGAGGATTGATAGGACATTTTGGAGCTAAGAAGACGGAAGATGTTTTGGCCTTGCATTTCTTTTGGCTAAGGATGAGAAAAGATGTTGAGAGGTTCGTGGCACATTGCACCACTTGTCAGAAAGCTAAGTCTCGTTTGAATCCACATGGTCTGTATATGCCTCTTCTTGTACCTTCTATTCCTTGGGCAGATATTCCTATGGACTTTGTTTTGGGATTTCCTAGGACTAAGAGGGGGAGGGATAGCATTTTTGTTGTGGTCAAAAGTTTTTCTAAGATGGCGCATTTCATACCATGTCATAAAAGTGATGATGCTATTCATATTACTGATCTGTTTTTCCATGAGATTGTTCGCTTACATGGTATGCCTTCTACTATTATTTCAGATCGTGATGCAAAATTCTTAAGTCATTTTTGGCGCACACTATGGAAGCAGTTGGGTACAAAGCTATTGCTTTCTACAACATGTCACCCACAAACAGATGGACAAACGGAGGTAGTCAACCATACTTTGGGTACCATGTTGAGAGCTATTTTGAAGAAAAATTTAAAGATGTGGGAAGAATGTTTGCCTCATGTGGAGTTTGCATACAATCAGGAAACACATTCTACTACCAAGGTAAGTCCTTTTCAGATAGTGTATGGTTTCAACCCTCGTGCTCCTATTGATATCTTGCCTTTACCTACTAGTGAGAGGGTTCATAATGATTCTCAAGCACGTGTTGAATTTATTTTGAAAATGCATGAGACAACTAAGCACAACATTGAAAAGATGACTGAAAAGTATAGAATTGCTGGTAGTAAAGGTAGGCAAGAAGTTAAACTTGAACCGGGTGATTTATTTTGGTTGCACTTGAGAAAGGATAGATTTCCAGAATTGAGAAAGTCTAAGTTGACGCCTCGCGCTGATGGTCCTTTTAAAATTGCTGAGAATATTAATGATAATGCGTATAAACTTGAGTTGCCTCCCGAGTTTGGGGTTAGTCCCACGTTTAATATTTCAGATTTGAAGCCATACTTGGGAGAAGAAGATGAGCTTGAGTCGAGGACGACTTCAATTCAAGAGGGGGAGGATGATGCGGACTTCACTCCTTCGAATACACACGACAATCCTCCAATAGTCATTCAAGGACCGATAACAAGAGCTCGCGCGCAACAATTGACTTTAGAGGTGAGCTCGTTCCTATGTTCTTCTTTGTACGAATTCGAGAATAGATTGCTACCTAATGTTTATATTGTGATTAGGAACAATGGAGGGGACAAGGAAACATTTGGAGAAGGACTTACAGCCATGGAGGATCATCGAGGACGTCCATGTCAAGGTGGAGGCCCAAACCAAGTCGAACTCGGTGCAATTCAGAGTACAGGACCAGTCTGCACTAAAACGGGCACCCAGGTCGCATACGTGCTCGGATTAGGGCATTCTTTATATGGATGGAAAGCTAAGAAGATATAATTTCCAATGGTTTTGGTCCCACATCCAAATTCTTTCCGAGTCAACAGGAATCGACCGAACAAGTTGACGTCCAGAATCTGTCCTGGTGCTGCGTCACCGTATTTGGGCCTTTCGGCCGTGTATCGTGTTGGTACCCATTAGGGGTGCGTCGAGAGGGGGTTGCAAGACCCTAAACTCTATATATCAGTACCCACTGTCATCTTTAGGGTTTGGGGTTTTGCTTAGATTATTCTGTCGAGAACAGTTTCG